GTGTCTTCTCTTGGTTCTTGGTTCATATTTTCTGCTGTACCTCAAAAAAAACAAGCATTGGGGAGAAAGAGAATTTTAATAATGATGTTTCAGTAATTGGAGTATTTAACTACAATGGTGGTGGTTATAAGAACTTGGTTCTCTCTCTCTCTCTCTCTCTCCCCCCCGTGTGTGTGTGTGTGTGTGTATGTGTGTGTGTGTGTGTGTGTATGTGTGTGTGTGTGTGTGTGTGCCCATCATGACATTCAATTGTGATCCTCCTTTCACTGTATTTAAAAAAATCATGCAACCAATTTCCTCTCAATTGGAAACACACATGCACACATGCAGGCAAGATCAGTCAGGGTCTGACAAGAAGCAGAATCGTACTCAACCCAACTAAAAAGGCATCAGTGAGGATCTGTAATAAATCCTTTTAGACTGGGAAAAGGCAGGACAAAATATGTTGAGGGACCAGAAGAATAGCCACAATAGGGGGCCTTTAGCACCCCAGGCCAAGAAAGCGGGAGGAGAAGTGGCAGGTTACCCAAGCCCCGTGTGAGCTGAGCTGTGGGCCAGGGGCTGCCTGGCAGGAGCAGCCTTGGTGATGGGATAAAGACCCTGAGACTCATCAACTGGCTAAACACGCTACTGTCTTCCTCCTTCCTTCCAATCTTCTCTATCCCTCAGCTCTTTGAACCCAATAGTAAAGCAGCCCGCAGGGAAGCCAGCATTCACTCATCCCTGGGAATCCTGGGACAAAGGGTCAGACAGAGAAAAGCAAACAGGTAGACCTGGGGGCAAACACGGAAAGACCATCACCAGCCCCAACAGAGGGTTTTCCCAAAAGCGGTCTAGAAGCCACACCCACATGGAAAGAATAGTGAGGAAGGGCCTGGGGTTTTGTGACTCCCTCTATGGCCTCCTTCTTGACGAAGTTCTTAAAGAAGTAGGCTGTCCCCATGCTCACCACTCCCCTTATCCACCATTCTTTCTTTTCCACAATCTACTAACTGGATGCTAAGAACATCCTTAGGCTAAAGTCAAAACAGAATGTTTGTTTGCATTTAATTACACCCTTTGGGTTGCCACAAGGCCGGCCTGTCTACTCTTTAAACTTCCTCAAGCAGACATTGTCCCACATCCCTGTGCCTCTTGCCTTGCTGACAACACCCTCTGAGACCCAAAATCAAGTTCCTCTTCTCTGGCTCCCCTCTTAGATGCAGTTTATCTAGTTTTCAGGTCTCAGTCTTTTTTTCTTAGTCTGCAAATTCTATATGAGCAAGCTAACCAATATCAGCCTTGTCAAATGATCAGTGATTTGCAGATTGCTAATGCTGATGGTCCTGAGCATTTCTAGTTGTGGTATTCCAGTTATCGCTGAGCTGGTGAGATGGTTCAGTGGAGAAAGGTGATTGCTACCAAGCTTGATGATTTGAGTTCGATCACCAAGACCCACAAGGTAGCAAGAGAGAGCCAACCCCTGAAAGTTATTCCAGGATCTCCTTGCTAGTCCTGTGATTCTGAGTGTTGGGTCTTCACAGGCCAATGGTAGTGATTCTAAAAGTTCAGTCTTGAATATTATTCTAAATGTGCTCCTTATACTTCTAGAACCAGCCTTGGCCTTTGGTGAACAATGTCATTTTCAACACATTAATAATAACAAGAGTCACTGATAATGCTTCGGTGTTGCAGTAAGGACAGAAATGAAAGCACTTACCCTTGGTGTCATTTAACCGAGAGTGAGCCCAGATTTGAGTAATCTACTCTGCTTTCCCTGCGTCTGTGGTAGGAGTCTGAATCTGGGCCTGCCTGAAGGCTGTTTTATCAATCCTTCTGTCCCCATCTTTCTGTGTGTCCCCAACAAAGAGCTTCTGTTTTGTATTTATTGAAGAGCACTCATGGGAAAATAATGAGGAGCACTTGACAGAAATCTTTAACAGAATTTTACAAGGAATTAGGTTACTGGCTCCAACTGATCCAACTCACCCAGGCAACAAACGTTATTACAAACATTATTGTTTCTCTCTCTCTCTCTTTTTTTTTTTCTTGGTTTTTTCAAGACAGGGTTTCTCTGTGTAGCTTTGCACCTTTCCTGGAACTCACTTTGTAGTCCAGGCTGGCCTCGAACTCACAATGATCCACCTGGCTCTGCCTCCCGAGTGCTGGGATTAAAGGTGTGCACCACCACTGCCTGGCTCATTGTTTCTCAAGCAATATTCATACATTGCATCCAATATTTATGGTGGATTATAAAAAGCTGCTTCCAACCTACAAAGACACATGCATTGTTCATGGGTAAGGGGCACGGAAGTGATATTATATAATCTTAACATATATACACTTAGTGTAGGTTGTGAAAGTTGATTTCAGCCAGGCAGTGGTGGCGTACACCTTTAATCCCAGCATTTGACCTCTGAGTTCGAGGCCAGCTGGTCTACGGAGTGAGTTCCAGGACAGCCAGGGCTACACAGAGAAACCTTATCTCGAAAAACAAAATAAATAAATAAAAACAAATAAAAAGTTGATTTCATGGGAAATCCAAGGCAAATAAGTTTGATGGTCACACTGTTCTCTTAAAAGCACATTAAATAAACAGGCTGAGTTCACAGTAGGATAGTAGTTCTTAGGTCTTAAGTGACCTCAGAGTTTAGCTCTGACTGGGAGGCCCAGCAAGAGTCCCAGTGTCTTAGCATGAAGAGGTATTTTTATGATATTGCATCACCACTCCATCAACGTGTCTCTGTCTTACTTCTCTGTCTTCATTTCAGTACAGAGGCCCAGTCCTTCTCAGTCTTGGAATTATCTGGGAATTTGAAAACTGCCAGCACCCAGATCCACCACTACAGACACTGATTCTGACTAAAGGGATCTAGATGCATGTGCTGATGTTTTTCATTCTGCTGGATATGAAGCCAGGACTTTGTGCATGCTCCACAAGAGTCTATTACCCAGTAGCATTCTCCAGCCCCAAACCAGGACTTTTGCTAAAGTTCCTTGAGTGCGCCTAACAGGAAGACAAAGGGTAGTCACCACTGCTGCAGATCCTCACTGGGGAGGACGTTCAGGAGGAGGTGACATGCTGTAGAGACACTGTGTGCAGCAGCAAGAAAGAAACCTAGGCAGCTTCTCTTGGGTTCTTTCAGAAGCTGCAGTCTCTGCAAGTATGGAGGTTCCACGCTTCGGAGGGGTCGGGTCGGGGCTGCTGCACTCATCCCTGCTCCCTGTGCTGAGCCCTTCCCCAAATGGGACAGTCACTCAGCTTCTCAGCTCCTGTCCATCTCCGACCCACCCCAACCCCGTCTTCTTTCCTGTGATTTGCTTTAAGAGCCATGTGTAACTGGGCTGGCATGGGAGTGCCCCCGGTTATAACACAAACACTGGTTATAGTGAGTGGCATCAGTAACTCGGTACCTGCTCTGTGCACTCACTGACTTACACACAGCTTCTTAGTCATTGCACGATATTGCCAAGAACTACCAGCTCACATTTTATAAATGAAGAAACTAAGAGTCAGAGAGATATGGTGGCTTGAATAAGAATATCCCCTTCCCCCCTGGGCTGGATATTTTTATATCAACTTGATACAAGCTAAAGTCATCTGAGAAGGAAAATTAAGAAAATGCCTCCAAGCTGGGTGGTAGTGACACACATCTTCAATCCCAGCACTCCAGAGGCAGAGGCAGGCAGATCTCTGAGTTCAAAGCCAGCCTGATCTACAGAGGGAGTTTCAGGACAACCAGGGTTACAGGGAGAAACCCTGTCTCAAAAAAAAAAATTAATTAATTAAAAGAAAAGAAAATGCCTCCTTAAGATCAGGCTGTAGGAAGCCTGTAAAACATTTTCTTAATTAGTGATTGATGGGAGAGGGCCCAGTCATTGTTGGTGGGGCCACCCCTGGTCTGGTAGTCCTAGGTTCTATAAGAAAGCAGGCTGAATTTCCACAGTATATAAAAACTCAAGAAACTAGACATCAAAAATACTGAACAGTCCAATTAAAAAGTGGGCTAAAGAGCTAAACAGAGAATTCACAAAACAAGAATCACAAATGGCTGAAAGACATTTAAAGAAATGCTCAACATCCTTAATCATCAGAGAAATGCAAATCAAAACGACTCTGAGATACCACCTTACACCTGTCAGAATG